AGGACCTCTGATTAATTTTTGAGAAAAAGAAATTTGATTACAGATGAGTAAAGAGAATAAACTACTCAACATTAGCTAATTTTATTCTTCTTGGGGCATAAATATCTTAAATGATATCAACTAGTATTTAATTCAGAACAGAATGACATAAATACATATACAACTCTCAGCATTTCATATCTGTATGGTCAATTTAAAAAATCAGAGCTAAAACTGAAATGGTATTACCCCTTTTATGACATTGACTAAAATGTCACTTGTTTTTTTCTATTCAGAAATGTATTCCAAGTTTCTTGATTATTTTAACTTTTTAAAAATGTCAAATTATATCCACTTTTTTCTTTTCTCCTTTTTCAATTAACTTCAACCTAATACAATAACAATCTTAATCTGAGCATGTCTATATAAGGAATTTATGTATTGTTTCATAAATACCAGATAATTTTAGAAAATATGTTTTGGTTCATTTTAAATAGATTGAAAACCAGACTAGCAATAAAAAAAAAAGGTCATACAATTTACTGTGTAGAAATAATAAAAATTACTTATCTGTCCTTGTATTTTTATAGCTATCATTTAATTTTAGGTTCCATTTTTATAAAACCTCATAAATTTAGAAGTATCTGTTTTTCTGCCAGCTTTGTCCGGATGTGATTCATAAATATGTCAAGAAAACCTAATAAATCTTTTATTAGTATGTATTAATATTTTAATTGCAATTTAAGAAACAAAGAACAGATCCTGCCTTCAATGGATTGGAATTCTTTTAATGTCATGTTTCAAATTAGCAGTAGCATTGCTACTTTTAATAATGGCCCTTCTCCTAGAACATCTATCATGTGAAAAATCTAGCCTTGTGGGCATCGATGTAACTGCAAAAAGCTACTGACTTTGTTGTTTAAAAAATTTTTTTATTATGTTTCTCAAAAGAAAATCTCTCTCAGGGCAACGTAGCAAAATTCAGATATTTCATGCCAAAAATAGGCATATTGCTAAGTTGCAAAGATTGCCATGATCCAGTCCAACCTGTCATCATACCTGGCCTGGACTTCTGTGTTTTCTTAAATTTGAGATAAAATTCAGATACGTATTGCTCATCCACTCAGGGTGTAGGAAACAGTGTTGATTATTCTGTTCACAAGAGTGCACAACCATCATTACTATCTAATTCCAGAATATTCAGCCTCCCAAAAGAATATTCATAGCATTCATACTATCCAGCTCCTGAAACTACAATTCTATTTTTCTAAGACTTGCTTATTCTGGATTTCACATATTGCTGCAATTATATGGCCTTATGGTTTTGGCTCCTTCCTCTTAGGATATTGAATTTTTTTTCCCAGTTTGTTTCGGACTCAGGGCCTTTGCACTTGAGGTTCCTCTGTCTGGGGTGCTTTTGTTCATAGTTTTTCCCACGCTCGGTTTCTTCTTCTTTCATCCCCTCCTCAGAGAGCCATGCCTAGATGATCCTGTCTCCAGAATCTTTTCCTCAACTCCCAGTTATATTCTTTTATTTTATTATCTTGCTATAATTTACTTATAGCTTTTTATCACTGTCTGTAGTTGCTATTTTTTGTTTACTAGTTTATTATCTAACTCTTTAAAAATATGCCAACTTCGTCAAGGCAGAGACTTGAACACTGTTGTATCTTAATTAAACTTCTAGTGGGAGTTCAAATAATATTTAAAGGTCTGCATGATTATCTTGCCTAGAACTCTCAGGCCTTTCAAATCTTCCCTCTCTTCCCAGTTTCTGAAACTGCATTTCTTTGCCTATTTCTAGAATTTCCAGTTACCAACTAGTACTTGACCAGATTTCTATCCATTGCTAATTCCCCATTCTCTTGGCACCCCACTATCCTACTCTTCTAATGCCTTTCATGGTAGCTTTTTAGGACATTTCTACCACAAACAGCTTTTGCTAATCTGCAGTCTCATAACCTAATTAAGCCTTCATTCTTATAGGTCATCAGTAATGAGCAAAGTCCCATTGCCAATCTGTAGTCAAGAATATAAATGGCAATAGGTAAGAGGAATCAACATGATACTAAGAATCAAACTTTTAGTCTGGAACAGAGTCATTGTAAGTGTCTGCCATGCTCCACTTCTCCTGGTGGAACATGCCTATATACTAGTTCAATTTAAGTGAATGTGATTTTCTAGTGACATCTGAATGCTTGTAATTACATTATCAAGGCTCCATGCAGAGATCTGGAATTTAGTTGTTTTGGAATGCTTGGCCAAAAGGGGACCTGTGCAATCAACTTCCATTTAGTCATTCGATCCCAACTTTGGTTTCTAGGGAAATAAAGTGCCTGTCTGTCCCCCACCCCACCCCATCCATCTTGTCTTAAAACTCACATATGGCATGACCTGAAGTCTACAAGTCTTCCTTAAACGTTTTTTCAAAAATACAAACTCTAGCCAGGCGCAGTGGTGTACACCTGTAATCCCAGAGGCTCGGGAGACTGAGGCAGAAGGATCATGGGTTCAAAGCCAGCCTTAGCAAAAGCAAGGTGCTAAGCACTCAGCAAGACCCTGTCTCTAAATAAAATACAAAATAGGGCTGGGGATGTGGCTCAGTGGTTGAGCACCCCTGAGTTCAATCCCCAGTATCCACCTCCCCAAAATACAAACTCTTATTTAAAATAGTAAAGGAGAAGTCATAAAGAGGGAGGACATTTTTGTCAGATATTTAATCAACAAAAGTTCCAGAATAAATAAATCATTCCTATAATCATGAAACAAAACAAAACAAATAAACAATAAAAAACCCTAACTATCCAAGGGGGAATGGGAAAAAGAGATAAGTGGGCATTTCACTGTGGAGAAAATAATGGCTGATACATGTATAAAAAGACAGACAAGGCAGAAGCTTCAACTGACTCATTAGTAAACAAGGATTTGTGAATTAAATTCACACTGAGATGTCACATCCACCAGATTGACAAAGATTTTTGCATAGATGTGCAGCCATGGACCATTCCATTCACTGCTGGTGGGAGTGTAATTAGTGTGACATTTTGGAAAACTACTTAGAGCTTAACTAAATCATCCCTTATGGCTTAATAACTCTACTTAGGTACATACTTCGGATAATTCTTGCACATGTGCACCAATGCACACGTACAAGAACATTCATGCAGAAAAAATTTGTAACACACAAGTCGTTTCTTTTACTGACTGATAGGGGTAGAGAAAGCATTCAGCCTACTGATTCAGGTTCTCTATTCTCACTGACAGCTGGCCACACTGGTTGCTGAGACTAGTCATCTTTCAGCACATGGATGAGAAGCACTAGGAAGGGACAGGGGAACCATTTTCCTCTGCCTGCCATCCTTACCGACGTCTTCAGATCATTTACATCTTTGCATAACATTTATTTATTACTACTTTGGCAATAAATCAAAGTGTAAATAATTCAATCAAATCTATTCTCATCCATCATTGAACCTACACCAGTCTTTATAATTTGGTCTTTTTCATGTGTTAAAAATGGTAGCCATTATTCTTCACCTGCTGTGTCAGAGTTTTCCTTCTACCTCTCTATTTCTGACATTGCACTAGCGTAGTCTCTCTTGTAATCACAGCTATTTGTGAATGGGTTTGGGGTCCTTTATCATATTCTAATTTCCTTTAGGAAAGGCCCTGCTGTTACTAAAAGTTGTATTGCCAATGGCGATGCCTTGTTTACAATAGGTTTCACAGTAGTGCCTGACATGAAGACTTTTGGTTTAGGGAGAAATATCATAGGGGCTCCTCACCGTCCATATCCTTGAGCAAATTCTTTAATCTCTCCAAGCATCATCAAATAAAAATCTTTAAACATATTTAATGTATTTTACCATAGTTTTTACATGAGTTTTAAAAATACTTTTTAGAATCTTTATACAATACTTCACATCACAAAGATATCATGAATGTTAAATGAAATAGCCCAAGAAAGTACATGACACAAAAATGCCCCTTTAAAAATCGCAATGAACTTCCTTCTTCATTGTTCCTCACCTTTCAAAGGAGGTCAGTTAGATCAGTTTTCCCTTTTTCTGCAGAAGGAAATTAGACTTGTATCAGCAAGTGTCCTGGAAAAGGCTGCTTCCTGGGCATCCACACCAAGGAGGGGAGAGGTTTAGAGGAAGTCAGAATGCCATAGCTGCAGAAATTCATAGATAAAGGAGTTCTCTTAGGCTGGGATATCCATAGGACAACCGCACTTTCAAACCTGTTAGAAATGTGTGTAGGACCAAGCCCCAATTGTCCTTTCTTCTTGACCTTTCAGTAACAGACAAGAGCATTTTCCTAAATGGGTAGACTTAGCAGTGATTTGGGGGATGGGCAATAGAATCAACATCAAGGAAAACGAGCATCGCCCTAATAGCATCAGGCATTGTGAGAGGAGCTGGTGCTAAACCAAGGAAGCAAATCAGGTGTTCCCACCTGGCGCCGGGTGCAGTTGGGACCTCTGGAGCTTCAGGCGAGGAGACCCCGCAGAGACCAGTGTGGCAGAGGAAGGCTTCCTAGGGAAAGGGAAGAAGGGGCGCCCCAGGCAGACTCAGGAGTAGCCACTGACCATTTACAACCCCGGACCCTTCGGACGGCTCAGTTTACCATTCAGCTCCTGCTCCCGCCCAAATCCTTCTAAAGGTGGGAGTGGACGTGCATTATTTTAATTCCCCCATCCCAGAGCGAAATCGGGTGGTGCCCTGAGTCAGATTCTCAGACCAGGGGTGAATGGCCCCCGGCAGCGTGTGATGGGGGAGATGCGCGGGTCCTGGTGACGCGAAGGAGTCCGGGGGCGGCGGGCTGCGAAGTGACGCGCGTTGGGACCACGCCACCCAAGCCCACGTGTGCACAAGATTTAAAAGTTGGTGGCGCGCTAGGCGCGTTCAGTGGTCGGAACCACGAGCTGAGCTCCAGGGACGCGGAGGCATCACCAGGGAGCCAAGGCTGCAGGCGCAGAGTCCCAAGTCCAGAGGTCCGAGCTGCCCTGAAGCGCCGAGATGCCGCGATCAACCAGCCGCCGTCCCGGGCTAGCCCCGGGACAGGTGTTTGTGGTGTCCCCGCTCCTGCTGCTGCTGCTGCTCGCCTGGTGCACGGGCGCCTGCGGAGGTAAGACGGCCCCAAACCTGCCCGGTGCCCGCCGCCGTCCAGCAGGCGCGCTTCTCCGCGCCTCTCCATTGCTGTCCCCGCCGCTCGCTCTTGGTTCCACTGCTCTCCTTTCCTCTTGGCTTCTAGGACCTACCGTTCCCTAGTGCGCGGACCTCGCGGGTTCTCGGTCTTGACCACAGGCGGGAGTCGCTGCAGCTGGGCAGTGGGGTGGCTCGGCTCCGAGAGCGTCTGGGCCCCCGGCAAAGATTTCCAGACACCCAGCTGGTTGCTGGCGGTGTAGACCTGAAGGGCGCGACTCACAGCCCATGGCCCCTGGGTAACGGAAATCAGAAAAAATTCAAAAGCTTTCCCTTTCATTGCAATTATTGAAGGCGTCCGTGGTTGAGGCAAAACCAGAGTTTGATGCTACACCTGCTGTGGCAGAGGTGCTTGGAGTGCCCCCAACCTCTGCAGTGAGTGAGCTCGCCCTCTGTTCAGGTAATCCTGAGCAGAGAACCAGGTCCATTCTAGCCAAGTAGAAAGGGAAAAGAGAGGGTTCTGTGTCTTGCAAATTTTCAGTCAGCAGGTCTGGAAAACGAGTAGAAACTTTCTCACCACACAAAGTTAGAGACGCAATCGTGCAAGGCTAAAGCCAGTGATGTGGCAGATGTGGTTTGATAAAAATTGGGACTTTCGAGATTGGCCTAGAGGAACCACATAAGAAAGGCAGGTCAGGATGGAGATCTGAAGCTTTGGAGACGTGTCAGGGTATAAACGTACTAGTAGAAAGATCACTTCCCTGATTCCCCTTTAAATAATAATAATAACAATGATGATAATAATAATAATAATTATTATTATATTAAATAATAATAATAATTATTATTATTAGGATTGAACCTAGGGGTGTTCTGTGAATGAGCTACATCTCCAGTTCTTTTTCTTTTTCTTTTTTTTTCTTTTGGGACAGGGTCTTGCTGAGTATTTGAGGGTCTCACTAAATTGATGAGGCTGGCTTTGGACTTGAGATTGTCCTGCCTCAGCCGCCCAAGCAACTGGGATTACAGGCGTGTAGCACTAAGCGGGGTTATTTCCTTGATTCTCTAAAGATTACCTTGCCTGGTTCTCTGGGGTACTACCATTCATCCCTGAACTCTGGGGACCCCTTCAGTGCCACTCTTTGCCCTATTACAGCCATGAATTCTTTAGGTTAGCCTCAGGTTCTTTTAGCTTTCCTCTGTTCTTTTGTGAGTGTGGTAGAGGTGGGCTGTTTTGTCACTTTTCAAAACGTTGAGAACTTAAAATCACAAATGCAGGTATCTTTCAGAGCTCAGCCCAGCCCTCAATTAGAGATGGGGAAACAGAGGCTATTATTCTTTTCCTAATCTTCTTATTTTTGTCCTCATTTCATTGTTTTGGTTTTCACTTTTCCGGAGGCCTTGGAGTGGGGGAGAGGGGTCCCTGACTGGAAAAGCAAGAGAGTTTAACTGTGAAATCTAAGCTATTGGATTTAAGCTAATTAGACCTAAACCTCCACCTAGGCAGTAGTGATGTGATATGACCTACACAAGGTAAATATTCCTCCTTTTCAATTGTAAGTTTGTTTTTTGAAAAATTAAGCTGATAACCATTGCCTTCTTGAGAAAGCACATCATTTTTAAAATATATTTTTTTCTTTAGTTGTAGATGAACACAATGACTTTATTTATTTTTATGTGGTGCTGAGGATTGAACCCAGTGCCTCACACATGCTAGGTGAGCACTCTACCACTGAGCCACAACCCCAGCTCTCAGATAGTTTTTTTTTAAATTCTAATTTGTTATATATGACCACAGCATGTAATTCAATTCATACTACACAAATAGAGCACAAATTTGTCTCTGGTTGTACACAAGGTAGAGTCACAGCAGCTAGAGCTTTTAAAGTAAAGCTCATAAAGAAACTGTGCTTTCCATGCATGTTACCAATTGTGTGCTTGCAGTGATTTTTTTTTTTTTGTATTGGTGGGAGACAACTGCCTTGGGGAGGGGCCAGTTCAGGCTGCTGGTAATTGAGCAGTAACAATGGAAGGAACAATGGCTGCTGGTTCCTAAAAGGATAAGTCAGGTTTTATTTCCAAAAGAGCAGATCTGCAGGCTAACTAATTGTCTCATGAATATCCTCAATATTTTTTGGAGCAAAAAAATGAGATGCCTCCTTGGCTACCTAGAGACCCTCTAGACTGTCTCTTTGTGTCTTCTTTCTCCTTCAGACCTGACTTAATAATAAAAACCTAATTTTTTTTTCTAAAAATGTGCTGGGGTGGGGCTTGGGGAGAGGCCAGTGTGATCTGCCTTAGTCCTGAGTCCTAAAAGATGATGGTGGTGGTGGGGTGATGGAGGCCATATATAAGCAAAACTTGGAGACAATCTACCATAATCAATCATCATGTAAATGTAACTGGATATATCTAAAAACAACAAAACAAATGTCACAAAGCCAGAGGAAAATAATAGTGTCAATAAATGCAGTATCCTCAGCACAAAATGAATTAGCAGAGCATACATTAGCTAGAGAATAGACCAGCCACAGATTTAGTGGATAGAGACAGTTCATTCATAGAACATTATTAAAAGAAGGAAATTTCCTATTTAAAAACCACAATTTGAATATCTGCAGCAAAAAATCACTTGAATAGGCCTCTGACAATAAGTGATCAAATGCCCAAGACTAAATTCAGCCGTGTCTTTTCTTATCTAGGTCCCTATTCACCAAATAATTCTTAACATTCAGTCAGTAGTAACAATTTCTCATTTTCTAACTCTTCACTAAAGTACCATTAATGAGAAAAGAAAGTTGACACCATCTTTTAAATAATCAGTTCTGTTTTACTAGATAGGACTGGAGTATAAATATGTCAATGAAACAGATCAAAAACAGTAACAGTTTTTATGATACAGAAGATAGTGACACTGTGAAAATATGGAAAGTGACCTGAATTCTGCTTTTTAAAAGTACTGTATAAAGCCCACATCAAGGTGATATGGGTTGAGTGTGTCTCCCAAACATTCTTATGTTGGAATCTTGGTCCCCCAGTGTGGCAGTACTAAGAGGTGTTGGGACTTTAAGAGGTGAGGTCTAGTGGGAGGTAGTTAGGTCATTGGCAACATTGCCCCTGGAAGAAATTAAGGTAGCTCTCATGGGACTCCCTTTAATTCCTGAAAGAATGAAATGTTATTTTAAGAAGCAAGACTGGCCTCTTCCTCCTCTCTCTGCTTTAGGCTTCCTCTTTTACCATGTGATCACTCTTGCAGAGACTCCCATCTACCAGGGGACCCTCAGAAGAGGCTGAATTGATAGGGCCACATGATCTTGAACCTGTAGCTTCCAAAATTGTGAGCTGAATAAGCCTATTTCCTTTAAAATGACGCAGCCTCAAGGATTTTGTTATAGCCATGGAAACAGACTAATATACAGACTAATATCTTGGGAGGGAAATCACATCAACTCTAGTTAACAAATAGACAAAGAAAAATAATTCTCAAAAAAGAAAAGAAAAAGGAAAGATAATTCTCTCTTATGTTTGGGTTTGGCAACAGGATATTAGTGATGTTAAAAGGTCAGAACGTGATTCACCAGACAACTGTAACTTTGGATATGTGTTTGTGGTAGAGTAAGACATTTATTATTGAGAAATATGTAAGATTTTTTTTTTACTATAAATAGTTGTTCCGAGAAAATGGATTCAGTCAGGTCCTGACCCCATGACCTCTATAAATTATTTCTAATACTCAGTACCATATAACATATAATTAATTACTATTGTTAATGTTATTAGAATGTAAATCAAATAGTAAAACCTCAAGATAAGACTTGACTACAAAGTGGTAGAATTCGTGGTGGGGTTGCTCTCGGGGTCTAGTGGGTCATACTGTATTTGAAATCTGTCTCTGCTACGTGTATATTTTAGTTGGCCTGGGGCAATTACTCAACCCTTCCTTTCTTCCATTTCCTCATCTTAAAATGGGAATAATAACATCTATCTTGAAAGGTTGATATGAAAATTAAAGGACGTTTGAAATTCTTAGTATAACATCAGGCATCAAATAAATGATCAGTGTTGATAGGTGCAATGTTAGTATTTGTTTTTTTAAAAAGTTCTCTTCTTTAGGACTATTTTTACAGTCAAATCACCTTTATTTATAAACTACTACAAACTGTAGTACAGTAGATTTTCAGATATTGAAAATACATAGGCCAGAAGATTTTTTTAAGTATTTAATTTTGCTACATTTTAAATCTCTAAAAATAAATTTAGCTGGGTTTGTTGGCTCACGCCTGTAATTCCATCTATTCAGGAGGCTGAGGCAGGAGAATCACAAAATCAATGCCAGACCCTGTCTCATAGTAAAAAATGGAAAAAGAACTGGGCATATAGTTCAGTGATACAACACCCCTGGGTTTGGTCCTGGGTACTGTAAAAGAAAAAAAGTATAGTTTTATTTTACAACATGTTTTAGTAAAGACAACTATATAAATATAAGACCATAAATGCTAATTGAGTTTAAGTATTAGTAAAAACAGAAAAAGCATTGAGATAATATTTATAATTTGCATAGTATGAATTAGAAAATTAAACTTATGGAGAAAAATGTTATCTTGGAAGATGTAAGCTAGGTTATGTTTTTGTTTCAATAATAATTAAGGATCTAACAAATAATGTTTTTCTTTATTTTATAAGCAATGCTTTTTAAAAAGACCTTTAATATGATATAATTTATATACCATAAAATTCATCAGTTTTAAGTATATAATTGAGTGATATTTTAGTAAACTTAAAGAGTTGTATAGTGGCTGGGGCACTGGGTTCGATCCTCACTACCACATAAAAAATAAGTAAATAAAATAAAGATATTGTGTCCATCTACAACTAAAAAAAAAATTTTAAAGAGTTATACAGTTATCTTGGCAAAGCAATTTTAGAATGTTTCCATCACCCCTAAAGATTAGTTGCATACATTTGCAGTTAATCCCCATCCCCACTCCTAGCACCAGGCAACCACCAATCTTTGTATGATTATAGATATAAATAAACTTTGCTGGACAATTTATATACATGAAATCATGCACTATTTGGTTTCTTACAAATAGTTTATTTAACAGCACAATGTTCCTAAGGTTCATCCATGCTGTATGTATCATTAGTTCATTTCTTTCTTATGGCCAAAGGGGATTGCATGGTGTAGATATTTTGTTTATTTATTCCCCTGTTGATGATGGCCCTGTTGGGCTAATATGAATAATGCTTCTCTGAACACTCATGTTCAAGTTTTTATGTAGATATGTAAGTGATTCATTCTTGAGAAGAATATCTTTATAGTATTATTAAAGTTTATTTTATTTCTTCTTTTATAAAGTTGAATGCTGAACTATCTAACTGAAGTTGGTGGTTAATGATGTACAGTGAAAAATGAGAAATAAAATCTGAAAAGTAATTATATATGGATATTTAATTTTTAAAAGAAATACTATAAAATTAACATGTGGATGTAACTTGACTTTTAGGTGCTCCAATATTTCCTCAAGGATTCCAGCCTGAACAAGAACTACAATTGTGGAATGAGGTAAAGAATTATTCTCACACAAATTAATGGAAACTTTAATCTTTGAAATTTTCATGGTAAAATTAAATAATGTAATTGAGCTTTGAGATAACTAAGATTTTTACCAACATTCCCATATAAGTATTGCTTTTATTAAAATCACTGTAGTAAATGGTAAAGTAATAAGAAATTAAGTCCTAAAATAGGGTAACTATAATAAATGTGAATGTGCTAAAATATACCACTTAAAAAATGGGGATTTTAGGGTTTGAAAAATTTTTTCATTATTGTTAAAGATCCAGAAGTAATTACATGTAAGAGTCACATTTTAAATAGGAAACAACAACAAAATCAGTCTAAGTATAAAATTATGAAATATGATGTACCAAGCAAATATGAACTAAAAGAAAATCAGAGTAGGAATCTTAATATCTGATAAAATAGAATTCAAATGAACAAACCATCATAACACACAAATATTTGCTGATAAAAGAATAACATACAAGAAGGTGCAGCCATTATTAATGCGTACTACCAAAACCACCCCAATTTTTTAAAAACAGGTAAATCAACAATTGTAGTTGGAAATTTTAATACATCTCTCTCAGAAACTGATAGTTAAAGTGTATAACAGGCAGTGGATATATCAAATACCTAATTAAACAATAGATGAATTTGAGCTATTAAAAAACTTACACTGGATAGTATGCTCATTCTTATTGAAAATAATTGGAGCATTAAAAGAAATAGAACATGTTGTAGAATAGAAAGGAAGTTTTCATAAATAGGAAGGGATATGTCTTAAATTTTTCTAACCATAATATCATAAAATAAGATGTTAATAATGAATGTATAATTTTCATATCCCATCTGTTTGGAAAATAAGTAGCACTTTGTTAAATAATCCTGGGGTAAAAAGGAAATTACAAATACTTAGAATTGAGTGACCAAAACATTGTAAATCAAAATTTGTAGGCTAACACACATTAGAACATGTGTTAGAATATACTATATATAATATCAATCTATCTACAATTTCTTTCCAACTATTGCTTTAACTATAGCCTAAAATTTTTTTAAAAAATTAAGATAGACAAGTTATAGACAACCCTGAAAAGGGTAGATGACCAAGGAAACTGGAGACTAAAAGTTTTTAAAGTATCAATTTTAAAATTTAAAACTAATTTAAAGTATCAATTTAAAACTAATTTAAAGTATCAATTTTAAATTTAAAATTTTAAAGTATCAATTGAACAATTGATTTTGGTGATAGTTACACATTTCTGTGAATACACTAAAAACTATTAATTGTACATTTAAAATGGGTAAATTGTATGGAATGTGGATTATATCTCAGTAAAACTATTACCAAGAATAAGTATTATAGTCAGTTATATGGCAATAATTTTGAAAACTTAGAGGAAATGGATAAATTCTTAAAAAAATATATGATGCCAAAGAAAAGTTTACTTATGATAGGCTCTGAAGAAACACTTTCTTTCCTCATTTCATTGGCCATGCCCTGTGTACTGTCTTATACAGTCAGTGTTCTAAAGCTTCTCCATACAGCATAAAACTTGCTCTAGAATTTGGATATACACCTTTTATCTAGTTAAGGAGTTTCTTTCTTTTCCTATCTCACTACATTTTGAAAATCCTAAATAAACTTTGAACTAAGTACTTTGTGTTAGTTGAAGAGAAGCAATATGCTTTTTATCCTTTAGTCTACAGTTGTGATGAATTAAATTACTAAATTTCTTGCTCTCAGACTATTAAAACTAAAATAAGAGTGCAGAAGATGTGGGGTATAATACCAATATACAAACATCTATAGTCATGTGCCTATAATCCCAGATACTCAGGAGACTTACACAGGAGGTTCACCAGTTTAAGGCTAGTCTTGGCAACTTAGGCTGTCTCAACCCTGTCTTCCTTTTACATAAAATCTTAGAAAGGACTGGGAATATAGCTGGGTGGTAGAGTGTTTGCCTAGTATGCATAAGGCCCTGGGTTCAATCCCTATATCACAAAACAAAAAGACAAAAAAAAAAAAAAAAAAACAGCCAAGAATGTTTCTTTTCACCAAGAAAAAATAACAATATAGTTTAAAATATTATAATTGGCTCTGCAAATATGTGAGTTCTGCAGCTACAGATTCAATGAACCATGAATCAAAAATAATTGGAGAAAATATTGGGTCTCCCTTTACTGTGTACAGATATTTTTCTTGTCATTACTCCCTAAACTAGACAGTGTAACAACTGTTTACATAGCATTTACATTGTATTTGGTATTATAAGTAATCTAGAGATGATTTAAAGTATACAGGATGGTGAGTGTAGATTATATGCAAATATCACACCATTTTATAAAGGGATTTAAACATTTACAGGTTTTGGTGTTGTTGGAGGATGTTGGAAACAATTCCCTAAAGATACTGAGAAACAACTGTGTATCATTTACAGTGGCAACAAAAACTATATAAATATTTAGGAATTAACCTAACCAAAATTATGTAATAAATTTATGCATAATTTTGTAGAATAAAATTCAGCTCTAGGGGCTGGGGTTGTGGCTCAGTGGTAGAGTGCTTGCCTCATATGTATGAGGCACTGGGTTCAATTCTCAGCACCACATATAAATAAATAAATAAAGGTCCATCAACACTAAAAAATATTTAAAAAACAAATTCAGTTCTAATAAAGGAAATAGATGATTATGTGAATATATGGGGCAGCATTATTTATAATTTAGTATAATAAAGTATCAAATCTCCCCAAATTAATCAGTGTAAATCCCATAAAATCAAATCAATTCCAATCATAATAATTCCATTTAGGTTTCTTAAGAAACTCATAAGAGTCGAGGACTATAGCTCAGTGGTAAAGTGCTTGCTTAGCATGCACAAGGCCCTGGTTTGATCCTCAACACCACACACACACACACACACACACACACACACACAGCAATTTCTAAATTTAAACTAAAGTTGACATAGAAAAATAAAGATCTACTAATAGGGCTGGGGTTGTGGCTCAGTGGTAGAGTACTTGCCTTGCATGTGTGGGGCACTGGGTTCGATCCTCAGCACTGCATAAATAAATAAAATAAAGGTATAGCTAAACATTTTTAAAAAGAGATCTACAAATAGCTAAGGGCATTTTAAATTCAAAGAGTTAAAAGTAGGAACTTTTCCTACCAGATTCTTAAGACATACTATAAAACTGGTGTAATAAAAAAAGGTAAGGCAAAGCCACAAGAACAGAGAAATGATCCACTGGCATGGAGACTAGAGCTTGGAGAACACAACTGTCACCATCAGTACCCTGCAACATCCAATTGGCATTCACCAGCCCAGGGTTCTCCAAACTTAATAGTTTCTACTTATAGGTGTCCATGGCCTACCTATGCTCAAGTGACCAGAAGTGCCCCCAGCCACTGAGAGCAGCTCTCAATGGGTGACCAAGGGGAGCTGATAGATAAATACCTTAGCTGTATCACCTCCTCATTTGAGATTTCTCTGAGATGTGCTCTATGCTGTCTTTCAGAGTTCCCTGGACAGATTATGCCCCAGTTACCTGCTCAATAACATACCTTAATTGGATTCCTTTTATTCTCTGTTTGGCTTCTCCATTCTTCTACCAGTGTTTAATGAAATCACCTCCCAAATTATCTACTTGCATGCACATCCTTATCTCAAGGCCTGTTTCTGGGCAGAACCCAGGCTAAGACAGAAATGCTCACATACATAAGCTTAACCTACAACAAAAGTAACACTAGAACTCAATGGGGGAAAGAAAAGGTTGTTTGGCAAATGCAGGTTGAGAAATTGGCTCACTGTATGGAGCAAATAAAACTGACACCTAATACAAAGATGAGATCCAGGTGGATAAACTATCTAAACATAAAAGGCAAGTTCTAGAGTTAATAAAAGATATTTTAGGAAATATCTTTGTGAGCTAGGGTCAGGAAAGACTTCTTAAATAAAATTTTAAATATAGATCATAATACTAAGAACATAATAAATTGAATTACATTAAGAGAAAAGTCTTCTTTCAATATGGAACTCTGGAAAAAAGTAAGAGCTTTTAAAGGAAAATACTGATAGAATTGCTTCTCTAGACCATTCAAGAATCACCATCAAATCAACTGGATAAAGACAGGAATCCAAAATAAAAATAGTCAAAGGATAAGAACAGATAGTTTACAAACAAGAAAGTCCCAGAGCTCAACAAACATCTAGAGAGATGCTCAAACTCATTGGTAAAAATAAATGAAAACTAAGACGACAGTGTTATTTCCTTCTCATTAGACTGGCAAAAAAAAAAAAATAGAAATCGTTAATGGCTTATGTTCATAAGGATGTAAGGTATATAAACCCTCATGCAATGCTGGTCAGGGTGGCTTGCTAACTGGTGGAACCATCTGGAAAGCAGCCTAGATACCCCCACAATTTAGTATTCTCTCTTCTGGCTGAAGATATTCTCCATATGCAGAAGACAGCAATCCTACAAGGAGGTTGGTTGCAGCTTTGTTTGTAGTGGAAAGAATTGGAACACAGCTGTCCATTCTTGGGGAGTGGATAGGTAATATATGATGGACACACATTATAAAGTTTTGTACACTAGTTAGAAGCAACAAACTAGTTGTACACCCAGCACCATGGATAGATCCTGAAGTATAGAGTTAAGTGAAATTTCAAAGAAAGAAAATACCATACATTTAGCAAAACATGTTTTATAAAAACATACAAAATTGTAGGATATACCTCAAATAAATCAAGAATTGCCTATGGAAGGATGGAATGGGAGTGAATCAAAATACTGAAATAATAAATACTAAAACAAGGCTAATGTGAGCTATGAACTGGGGAGAATACCCTTTGTACCTAGGCCACCTCAATGAAATACATAAGGGAAAAAGCAAGATAAGAGAATAAATTCCTGGCTCTAAACAGTCTTTAAGAATATGGAAATTCACAAAGCCTGTTATGAGGGTCTCTGCCTTGGTAGAAATATAAAACAAGATGAAGAACAATTGAGACAAGAGATAATAATGTATAATACAGAAACATTTATTTTGGCTTGAAATCATCTACTTTTTCATAGAAAATCTTTGGAAAAATATTTTAGACAATATTGCTGGAAGGAAACTTAAGTGGTTAAAACAATAAATTATCAAATAGAAAAAGATATTTAAAGAAGATGCTTAGATCATATAGTTAATTTTTCTGCTTGAGGTTTTAAAAATTATAGAGCTATTCAGACACTAGAAAAACATACTTTCCTGACCTTATACAGAGACTGAACCATTTTCACATAGCTTCAGCAATGATCTTTCAGAGTCCTCAAAAGCTCTTAGGGGTCCTTGAAACCCTTAGAGCCATAAGCTGAATGCCCAAATGGAAGGTAGGCAAGCAGTGTTGCTGTACCCTTCAAAAAAATAAGAACAAAGACTGGGAAGCTTTGCAATGACTTCCTAATTTGATTAATTAGGCTTTTAGAAATTCTGATGTTTTTACTCAAACAACATTGAGGCACTGATTCATTAGTACTGAGGTTCGAGCGTTCTCTGTTCTTGGACACAGACCACCTCAGAGATGGGCAGCCAGGGTGAGTGGACAACATTCCCTTGAGTGTTAATGTCTTCAGATACTTCAGCACCACCAATGTTCCAGGAGGAACCACGTTCTCCTATCCAACTAAAGCAAAGGCCACATAGCTGGAGGCAGTGTATTAAGCTTTGGTCAAAATTCAGAGCTTAAAAGAGCATCTTTTGGGTTTTCCCTCTCAATTGACTTTCTCTCTCTCTCTCTCTCTCTCTCTCTCTCTCTCTCTCTCTCTCGCAAATTCAATTCAACTTAATTGAAGAATTTCTTAAATATATATTTTTAGTTGTCAATGGACTTATATTTTATTTATTTATATGCAGTGCTGAGAATCAAACCCAGTGCCTCACACATGCTAGGCAAGTGCTTTACCACTGAGCCACAATCCCAGCCCCAGCTGAAGAATTTTTATTGGATACTTATTCTGGACAAGTCATATTGACCTTGCCTCAAGAAGTTGATCATGTGTGGTGTGTTGATCATATTAGAAACATATATTTTAGGACACGATCAAGTTGGCAGCAGTAGGAGCTTGAGAATTTTATGACTGAAAAGTGTGATAATCTGCCCCTTTTCAGTTTGGTGTGAAAATGCAAATTAAATTAAATTGATCAACAAAGGATTGTGGGATGGGAAGAGGTCTCTGAGATCTTATGCCATAAACAGGATTCAACCTAAATCACTTCAGACACAAAAGAATCAGTGCCATTTTTTCCAGTGCCATCTGAAAAGGTCACTAAAGAAATAAGTATCATAAGCAACTCTTGAAATCCAGCTTAGTGTTCAAATTCTCAGTAGTGTTTTTGATTGATAGAAATCTCTTATACTATAAATTAAAGTCTCAAAATTTTCTCTTTATAATAAAAGCTGAGAACAGATAGTTGCCAACCATAGTTCAACAAATATTTGTTATAAAATAGAACTCTTATCTAATGCTGATTTCATGGTGGAGAGCTGGTGGATTGTTCATGGGGTCCTAAGAGTATTTCCTGCATGTGTGTCATGCAATTATCATGTTAAGTTTTAGGTGACAGGGCTGGGGATGTGGCTCAAGCGGTAGCGCGCTCGCCTGGCATGCGTGCGGCCTGGGTTCGATCCTCAGCACCACATACAAACAAAGATGTTGTGTCCGCCGAAAACTAAAAAATAAATATTAAAAATCTCTCTCTCTCTCTCTCTCTCTCTCTCTCTCTCTTAAAAAAAAGTTTTAGGTGACATTGGATTCATGTATAATAAAGAACAGTAACCAAGGATGCTCAATTTTCAGGTCATTCTTTAGTCACTTCTCACATTTCCCAAGCTTAACCAGAAGTTCTTGCCCTCAATGTTTGAGGCATCTTTATACTTTCTGGTGATTCCTATCAACTATTCTTGGGGCTGTATACCCCCGTGGCTGGGTGTGAGACTTGGGCAAATCCCAATTCCAGGACTTGCTGCATAAAGTTTTAGGGATTTCTCTCTTCCATAGTCAGTATTCTAAGCTGTCTTGCAACTTTGATCACTGTTTTGTATATAACTTGACTTTGTAAAATCCGTTTTCTACTCTTTTCTATTTCCAGGATATAACTGACATTTTTGTTTTCTACAGATAGACGATGCTTGTTCATCTTTTCTGTCTGTTGATTCCCAGACTCAGGTAATTTCAATTGCAGGTGTTTGGTAACAATGTAGGCATTTATGTAGTGTTGAAATTATCTACTTTTGTCTTTGGACCTTTATGGACTCATCAAAACATGTCAACATATTAGATATTAATACATCACCTGCAGGTAATAAACAGTACTATGTGCTTGTGTTTTGAAATGCTTGGGCTTTTATCTCTAAATAAACTAGATTTATAGATAATGTACATTTGGGAATTATGGATTTTCAAATTATAATGCTAATTTCAGCATCAAATTCTGTGTTAAATTTAAAATACTCTCTTGCTGTATTAGAGAGCTAAAATTCTATCCCTAGTTGAGTTTGAAACCTATTGATAAAATTACTATGAGTCAGGCTTTTGGAAATTAAAGTTTTATCATTATAACTGAAAACTCAATTTGAATGTGGCTTTAGATCTAGCGCCAAGTGTGTTTGTCCCCAGATGTAAACTTGCCTGCAAGTCTCAGGCTATTGCTCTGAATCTCCCACCAGAGTCAGGTTCTCATCCTCAGAGCTGACACCAGCCAAAGCACTGGTTCCCTACCAAAAAGGCTGAACATGCCCAACATCCCCTTCCCAATTCATTCATCAGACAGCTTGCTCCTCTTCCATGGGAGTTAAGCAGGGATTGCAGTCAGAGGCCAAGAAGGCTGGTCCAGTTTCCCTACATGGAAACAGGAGGGAAATAAGTGCATTCTCCTTACATGATCTGTGCTGGATGTGCTGTTCCTGCCTGAAGATCCATGTCTGAGAACAGAGAGAGGACAGTTCATCTAATTGTCTTGACCTTCTTAGTCCCTATCACTGATCTCCTGGACAAAGACTAGTATGTTTCTGGTACAAACTTCCTACATACTCCTGCCAAAGGGCCCAGGCTGTCATTCACATAGTCCTTATAGACAGCTGCCATGACTGGTGTAGAGAATAGTTTTGTGAAGTGCTATATTTTACCTAGCTCTGCCCAGTCCCCAGGCTAAGAAGGATCACCTGCAGGAAGTTAGAGGTATTAGGTGGTAAAGCAAGATTAGGATCACAATAGGTGGCTTTTTATTCTTTTTCTTTCCTTCCTTCCTTCCTTCCTTCCTTCCTTTTTCTTTTTTTGATGTGTGTATGCACTGGAGATTGAACCCAGGAGCGTGTTACCCAAAGAATGTTTACAGATGTATAACATGAGATGGATATTAGCATATAAGTGTTTCTGTTGTTTGTAAAATTCAGAAGCATCTTCAGAATCATTTTTATATTTTAAGTACCAGAAGGGTGAATTTCAAAGCACTCACTTTAAACCCCCGTCAAGATAAACCAACCTTTTATTGGTTTCAGTTCTGTGTAAGAAGAGCTTGGTAAATTTGCTACTCAATATTTTACACTTACAATGCAAATTGTATTGTACTTTGCTACATTTTAAAAACATCATTAATTCTCACCATATTATTTTATTACTTATTGATTATCTGAACAGTGCTTTAAAGTGGTTTTGCCAAATAGAATATAAAAGATTTTTAAGGCCCATAAATTAAAAATAAAAGAGTAAAAATTTTATTTTTTTAAATTTTTTAAAAATATTTATTTTTTTAGGTGTAGATGGACATAACACAATGCCTTTATTTTTATGTGGTTCCGCCCATGCTAGGCAAGCGCTCTACCGCTGAGCCACAATCCTAGCCCCCCCCCCAAATTTTATATATAAAAAAATCCTTGGGGCTGGGATTGTAGCTTAGTGGTAGAGCGCTTGTCCAGCAAGTGTGAGGCACTGGGTTTGATCCTCAGCACCACATAAAAATAAATAAACAAAAAGTATTGTACCCATCTACAACTAAAAAAGATATTTAAATTTTTTTAAATACCTAAAGAATGTTTGAGAATAATGGCTTCTTATAAAGGGAACTAGGGCAAATGCATTTGTTTTTAAACTTTTCCAGTCAAATTCAATCTTATTGCCAAGCCTCATCTGGCCTAGAAACCATTTTCTAAGGAGAAACAACTTTCATATGTAATTTTACTTTTAATGTCCAAATATTTTTGTTTTACTGCTTTATATTTTGTATTATTTCTACATGGACCATAAAAGGTGCTTTAGGGATTTTATTTCCAGATTTCATGGGGTGACCTGAGAGGGAACAAGTGAGAAGGGATGTATTGATGTTCACATGACCATTTTCTCTTGTTTGACTCCCAACTGCCCAGGCTAACTCAGTGGTAGAGCACTTGCCTAGCTTGCTTGAGCCCCTGGATTCAATCCAGTACTGGGGGTGAAGAGGGGGCAGATAGGAAACATTAGCTCTTAACTACAGGTTTAACAGACAATGCCATTGCAGCACAGGAATATCGATAGGTCAGGCCGTGCTCTAGTGAAAACTAGCCTTTCATGGGAGTGGACAAGTGATAATCTCTTAGAACCCACTTCCTCTATCCATGAGAATAACCATTGCTGTCCAGTGTACCTCACTCTTGTGTTTTAAGGACTGAATGCAATCCATGTATAAGAAAGTGTCTGTAATTTATTGAAACACTATAAACATAGACCATTTAATATTATTAATAAATAGCTCAACAACTTGCATGGCAGGCAAACAAATGAAAAGAAGAGAAGAGCAGGCTTCCGATGCCAGGAAGGACACACAGAGGTACTGTGTCATGACTCTCACTGTACCTCTGACCACAACCAGCCATGCTAAGTGTGCGCTGTATTTCCAAGGGTGAGAATATTGGCGGCTGCGAACAACTTTTTACATCTCTTCTAATCAAGAGTAACTGTATCTGTAAATCAAACTTAAGACTTTTACTCACCTTTAATCCTTCCAGGAACTCCCTGCAATGATGTCACCCCTGATTCCTGGCTTAAGAAACTGAAGTTTAGAGAGATTAAACTGGCCCAGGGCAATGCAACACAGCTATTAAGAGTAGAAATGGAATTTGTGCTGTAGAGTTACAGGCTGCCCACATCCATAGTTCACGATTTTAACCACTAATTATATTGCCCCCGATTGTCCCAGCTCTTCATTACTTCCAAAATGCATTTATTAAGCAATCAATTGTCTCCTGGTATATTGTGCTAGATCCTGTGCAGTGCAGGTTTTGCCCCTGCTTGTCCGTTTGTGCTACTCCTTACCACACCCAGCTGGCTGCTAACCACAAAGAGCCCTGCCCTACTTCTGAGCCCAAATGCTTTGACAAACCTGATCCTGGGGAGTGCAGTCAGCAAGCTGGAAGGGTGGTACTCAGATTAAGGGCACCACACATGGCTGCTTCTCCTCCTGTTCCCATTGTTTGGGAGCAATTGCAGGATTTTCAAATTAGCCAATAATGAGTAATATTCAGCAAGGCTCATGGCTTTGGCATGTAGATGCACTTTGCTACAAGCTGGGCAGACTAATCCCTATTTGGCACTGCCCTGGTTACTCTTAGTCATAGAGTTTCATGAGAGCAAATGCCGAGAACTATGTAACTGGACCACAGTGGAGGCCTTAACCAGTGTGTATAGCCAGCCTTTTTTAATTGTTGTTGTTGCTGTTGCTCTGATCAGAAGGAAGAAGGAAGGTTTTACTTTTAACAGTCAAGTTTTTGTAATGAGACAAATCAAGGGATTCCAATAGAGTTCCGGTGGCCCACAGCAAGAATTCTTTACTGGGTAGCTAGAATATTCTTGTGCTCCTAATATTGTGAGTTACATCTTCTCTGCAGACACTGTGCAAGCAGATACATTTTCTCATTTTCTTAGGCATCCACTGCACTGAAAGAGTTTTGCTTTATGGTGATGGGAATTCTACCAAAGCCTCAGGTAAGATTGAAATAGGGTTTTGGTTTTTTGGCAAAAGAAACATTGCCTAAAAAATTCTTGGACTTCCTCTTGGAACAAAGTATGCCCTTTTTGGAAGTATTCCAAGAGGAACTAGAAGAGGAAACATTGATTTTTTTGCATAAGAAAAAAATACTTTGGTTTGTCTGTTGCCTGATAATTTAGGGTCATGTTAATGGAGTTTAGAATCATCTAATTGAGAAATTATATGCCTCCCTCAATTATAAAATGATTCCAGTGTGATGGGAGAAATTTGTGGTCATATTGGCTGTATTTTTCTCCCTGACTCATACTACAATTGGAGACCAGATGCATCTTTCTAAGCTGCCAAATATGTCTTATGGTTCAGAGGTTAGGAGATTGTACTTCTTTAGCGAGTAGAACACTTAGGAATGCAAAAGCAGGGTAGGGGGGTGTGGCTCAGTGATACTCTCCTAGCAAAGTATAAAGTCTTGGGTTGAATCCCCAGCACTATCAAAAATAGAAGGAAAAAAAGTAAAAATAGCAAAATCATATTGTCAATGTCAGTTTGAAAATTATAGTCTTACTTTCATGTCCTGGTTTCTTATATAAATGATTTAATCGTTCTGGGAGAACTTTTTGTCCTAAGGCAAGATAGATAAGAACTTAAGTAAGCATAAGCACTATGCCTCATTTTCTCTTCCATATCGTAGGAAAGGATTGAAATTATTTTAAAACTACTGTATTAAAGATAAAAGTCTTGAGTTTAAAATTACATTTTTCATGAGTAACTAATTTAACCTGTGGATCATTGGTGCACTCTAATGTGTATCCCTTGCATATACAAAAATTCAAAGAAAGAAACCTTGATGGTTTGACTGTTATCTGAAACTCTAGACACAACTATATATCATCTATTATGTTTAATAGTGGCATTTTCCAAAAAACTTAACTGACTTTTTTTCTAATAAAGATAGAAGAAATGACAAAGGTGAGTATCCATCCTTTTCCTTTTGTATTAAAAAAAAAAAAAACAAGAAAGAACAATGACAACAACAAAAAAGAAATTTTATGACTCTTAAAAACAGACTTTTGGAGGGGGAGAAGAATTTAGAAAAGCTTATAGAAGAAAGCAAAATAACTCATAATCTTATTATTCAGTCATAACAATGACAAGTATTTTGATGCGATTCACTTGGTCCTTTTCTCTGGATATTCCATCATGTAATTATATTATAATTTCCCATTCCACCACATTGAACATGTAGGATGTTTCCAGCTTTTACTCTTGTGAAAAATGTTGTAAGGATTGTTGTTCACATCTTTCTTTATGAACAGTATTTATTTCCCATTTATTTGTAGAGTAACTGATACTTATTTCAGTTTTATATTTTATATGTAATGCACATCATGTTTTTTAAAAAGTATATGGTCTAATTGTGTAGCCTATTGTAAATTTTAAATTTATAAATAATTTTATAATATCTAAGATAATGATTATATATTTTTTTCAATAGGAACAAGATGAAAAAGATAATGCTAAACGGGTAAGGTGATTTTTATAAATATATATAATTAGAAAACAATTTTAAAAATCCTCTGATTTCCACTAATTTTTTTATGTATTACTCACTGTTTTTTCTTTAAACAGTTCTTATTTCATTATTCGAAGACACAAAAGTTGGGCAATTCAAATGTTGTGGTAAGTTGGAGAACTACTTATTATTATTAGTCTAATTAGTATTAGTTAAAAGAAAGCATATGCTTTTGCAATTTATCTAATATAACTTGATCAAAATTCAGATTTCTTACCTTAAAAGCTTATTATGTCAGTGAGAATGGAAGTCAGTATTTACTATACATTTGATTTATTTTACATGTCAACAACTACATGTACATTATATTCATTCATTCATTCATTTAACATTTATTGAGTATCTACTATGTGCCAAGTAAAGTTTTAAGTCTAGAAATATAGCAGTAAGCAAAACAACATTTAAAAAAGAAACCCCTTCCCTCCTGGAATTTACAGTTTATGGAGGGGAAAAAAAACAAGAAAAGAAAGAAATAAAACATTATTTTGGATGGTAGTTGATGCAAGGAAAAATAGTTTTATTCAAAGCTTTTTAATAATTATTTAAAAAGAGGATCAAAAATCAAGATGTAATTAAATATAACTAGAAATATCCTCTTCTATATGTATAATCCTTATTCCTTATCAATCATTGGACATTTAATGGGAGAATTTACAAAGTTTAGCCAGAAACCAGTAACATGAAATCAGTTTAGTCCAAACTTGTGTGTTTTCAGTGGTAGTTTTACTTTTTATTTGCATGGATTAAAAAAAAAAAAGGCTGAATGGGGCTAGGGGAAGCTCAGTGGCAGAGTCCTTGCATGAGTGATACCCTGAGTTTGATCCTCAGCACCACAAACACACACACACACACACACACACACACACACACACACATAATAAATAAATGTGCACATGTAAATTTAAAACTCAGTTTTAAGTGTTTATCTATCGCATGGAATATTCTGACATATGAGCACTTGAAAAAGTGAGGTCAGACTGGCTATACACCTAATACAAGTTGATTTCATGAACAGATAGCCATATGTAGGGCTTAAGGTAATCCATTTGATAAGCAATTTTAATATTAGTGAGAAGGCTGAAATTGATCCGTATACCTTAGAAAAAATGCAACCATATCAGGCAACTTTGGCTTAGCTGTGTTTTCATTGTCTTCTCCTTGGCATCTTTATCTTTTAAGAAAAATATATCTCAACCCCATTTTCACCATCAACACATTGTCATTTTCATGTCCCCAGTGTCTTGCTCCATATGTTTCCATTGTAAATATGTAATTTATAAGAAGGTTACTAGATAAGTGTAAAGTATAACCTTCCAGATAAACATGCTCATCATGGAAAACTGATATTCACAAGTTGGTTTCATCTGGACCAAACTATTTTGAGTATGTCTAGAAGCCAATAGATGGCCTTTCGCCTCCAGAGATGAGGTGAGGGGTTTTACTTGGCAGTTGAGGACAGAGCAGAGGCCCTCAGGAAGCTGCGTTTCAAATAATAATAAAAATCTTATTCCATCTCTTGGCTTTTTCACCCCAGTTCTTTGAAGTGCTTACAAAGAGCTGTCTTAAATAACATCTTTAATTTCCTTTTTTATTGGGGTGGGGTTCTGGGGCAAATATAGTCAGTAAAACAAAAACAGAGCAAAGCAAAGCAGGAAACCTTCTGTATGCCCAATGCCGACAAGCCCCTGTGCTCATGTCCTGTGTGTGTTCATGTCCTCTCAGTCATCTGTGGTGCATCCGTTGCTGCAGCTCGTTCCTCAACTGCATGAGAGAAGAATGAAGAGATTCAAAGTGGACGTATGTAACACCCACTGCATGTTTGCTTTGCCACTCTGTGAATTCCCAGTATGGTGGTTTATGAGATGCTTTTGTTCAGGATAAGCGGCACGCATATACTCGGTTAGCCATGGTACCGGCCTGGTGTGCGCAGGTGTGTTCATGCCTGGGAAGGGAATTCTTCAACCTCTGGTGCACCCCATGGTCTGCCCCTTCTGACCCAAGCTCCCGATGTCAGGCAATCTGGGTTTACACTCCTTCATGGCCCTCCCAATGAGAAAAACCTGTTCTTGGGGTAGGAAAGGACACTGCAGGGTGTCTAGTCTTTAGGAATAGGGGAATAAATAGAATAAAATGTAACTGCCCTTTGCATTCGTGTTGGCACATAGCTAGGACAGGCACATTTCTTATCCAAGTGTTAAAATGTTGATAGGAGTAAATATTATGAAATATACAAATCATAAACTGAATGTACATAGTTTTTTCCCACAATTAACAAAATTTGACCTAAATTCTATGTGTAAGATGAATATATTACTGAATTAACATATTCTTAACTAGAAACTGTGGAATTTTTAATGTTTAAGAAGAATCTTAATGTTTTTCAATGCTGAAAGTTCCTAGGTAATATTTTTAAGTAATGCCTCACATCATTGCAACACATTATAATTTTCTCCTTATATTATCTCATTTTATTCTTTTGGGAATTCTGTTAGTATTTACACAAGTACTGTTATTTTAGTTTATAGAACAATTTAGAATAAAGGAGTTCTCCCAGATCAGACTAAAAGACAGATTACATAGTCTTCTGACCTTTAATCTAGGCAAATATTTTTTTCATCATGATATTCCCTTTATAATTTAATCTTAGATACTTTGGTTATTTTATTGTTAAATGACATACTTTATTATTAAAAGATGAATTCAGGTCAATTTTTTCCTAATTTCAATACCATATCTACATTATTCTTCTTAAAGTGTTATCTAAACTTCAGATACTTTAAAAATAATCATACAGTATAGGCAAACTACAATTGTCTCCCTAAATTCTTCACATTTTAATACTAGGATTCCATCAAGGACAGCATCTGCTACTAATTTTAAAGAGAAATGTAAGAGAGAATGTAGTTGCCCTTCAAATTTTAGAATTTCCAGAATGAAAAACAAAAACGCAGTTCTCATTGGACTTCCTAAAAAGTAATATATGTTTTTTAAACTTTTTTTTACCTTTTATTACCCAAAATGTTTGCTTAACTTAGAAATAGTGTAAAATTTAAACTTTAGATCCAGTTTCTTAAAATACACCAACAATTATTAATTTAACAACTTTACTTCAGTGTTTTTATTTACACATCCAAAGATAAACATTCAGTGTTGTGGCTGGTTGAACCCATCTATCCATCCAGACAACTGGCTGAAGAGGTGAACTCGCTGACTGAATAATCTATACTATCTGATCCTCAAAGTATTTTGCAGTAAGTCAAGATTCCTGGGAACCTATGATAAAAAAGAATGTAAGAGATGAATTTTTAAAAAATGCAATAGTGTTAACTATGCTGCCTAAGTCACATAATATATTGATTTTTTTTTGTGTGTGTGGTGCTGGGTATTGAACCCAGGGCTTTATGCATGTGAGGCAAGCACTCTACCAACTGAGCTATATCCCCAGCCATAATGTATAGATTTTTGATAGTGGAATATTTTGAATATTTGAAGAAAATGAATTTTCAGATCTTAATGAATTCAAACACTTTTCTTGAATTTTGATTGCCATCTTCATGTCTTTATCCCTACCTCCCAATTCTGCTCTATCACCAATGAAAAGAAAAAAAAAATTGTATGAGTTTTACATCTGAAAGTTTTAAATATTTGATGCATTTTAATTTGTTCTACCTTTTTTCTCTTTAATAGTCACAAGAATTTTTCTCATGTAGGCAACTAAGTAGTTATGTATATATTCTTAAATACTAATTTTTCAATCTTTAGTAGTTTTGGGGGGTTACAGTAAAAATGAGAATTAAATTCAATATTGAGAATTTAAGATGCATTTATTATAAATCAAAGATTTCAGAATTTAAATAAATATCAGAGCTATTTCTTAGAATTTAAGAATATTATTTACTTATGGAATATTTGAAAAAAGTCTTGATTGATAAACTTTATATTGTCATTCTGTTAATATTTTTATAATCAATAATTGTTAATGGAAATAGGAAGCTACAAACCAATTTTATGGAAACCATAATTGTTAAAGATTTTTCCATTAAGTTTGAAAGGACACGTTTAAGAAAAAAAAAACACACAACAAAACATACCCATTATGAGTAATTCATTTTTTTTACTACCATTCTGTACAAATAATTCAATTAGGAAAATCTCTTCTAAAATATCATTGAATAAACATGGTTTTCCAAAGTTGTCCTTCAATTTCAATCTACATAACTATATAATTATTGTTTTGACACAATTCTGGTTAATATTTATATTTTGGGGGGTTTTTACATATATATATTGAATATATATATGTATATGTCTTTAGTTGTAGATATACATAATACATTTATTTTATTTTTTGATTGCCATCTCATGTCTTATCCCTATCTCCCAACTTTTGCTATATCTCCAATGAAAACACAAAATTTATTTTATTTTTTATGTGGTGCTGAGGATTGAACCCAGTGCCTCATGCATGCTAGGCGAGCACTCTACCACTGAGCCCCAACCCCAGCCCATATTTTTTGGTTTTGTCACAATTCTTATTTATATTGTTTCTCATTCATGTATAACACATATATTTTATTTTACGTATTTATTTCTTTACTTATATTTTTTTGAGACAGGGTATTGATATGTTGCCCAGTCTGGCCTTGAACTTGTGATCCTCCTACCCTGTCCTCCCAAGTAGCTGGGATTACAATAACATATATTTTAAAGAAATTATTTTATTCTCTAACAAAATGGTGAAAGGACATTTTAAATATAATTAATAATGATATGCCTGACAGCTATCTTTCTACCTGCTGATGAATACATGTACAGTTGACAAAATTCCTGAAAAAGAATGTGTTATGTTGATAAGAAAAATATCTTTTTTGATATAGTATTCTGATGATACTGCTACTTGTTGAAATTTTCAGGAAATAATATGTTTCTCTACTGATATTAATTATTTACTCAAGTCCTTGATGTCCTCTGTGCTTATAATAATTAAAAGTAACTTTGAGCCTCACTATGCTCTTTAGAAGAATTTTCACTTATTTTTAGCATTATTTGATTTGTAATGCCCTCCTCTTTTCTTCCAGGAAGAATTCCAAAGTCCTTTTGCAAGTCGAAGTAAAGGATACTTTTTATTTAGGGTAGGCACATGCTGTACTTTTTAAAAGTCAATTAATATCAAAGTTAAAAAAATACTTCTCACTGTACATTTAATTAATTCATACGTTTTAAAGTGTATTGATATTTGACATCAGATGTTACAATCTGACATTCATTTCTGTCAGTCTTATTGCTTCTATGCTATAGCATATTTAATCTTTACTCTGATTCACTACTCATATTCATAAATACCTCAAATGACATTCACCTACTTAATAACTTAATTCCATAATATTTCATACATAGGATATAAATATCTTAAAGACACATTGTTCCTTACATTCCAAGGAATCATTTGCTAAATTTTTGATGAAGTAGATTGGAAATTTGAAAAATTTTTTTTTAATTTTTAAAATTCACAAATTTTTAAAATTCAAAGACTCAACTACAATAGTTTCTGTAAAGATAAATTGTGATTGCATTTCTCATTTTGTAAAATACTATGATTACATTTCTCATTTTGTATGTCCAAATTTGTGTATGAAATGTGGGTTTCTTTCTAAGCAGCTATACTTTCTGAAATATTTGCTCCTTATTACATTACCAGAAAAATTTGATTAATTCATTCAACAACAATTATTGTACTTTTACTGGGGATGTACATTGTACCAATGCATGGGAATAAAAACAGAATTCAATTCCCACACCCTAGGAGTTTATAGTCTAGTAGAGGAAATAGATAAGTAAACAAATATAAAATATAGTCATCCTTTAGTAATCAACCCTAGCATATCTTCCTATATATTATAAATCATCTCTAGATAACTTATATCACCTAATACAATGTAAATGAAATGGAAATAGTTGTTATATTGTTTAGGGAATAATGACAAGAACCCCAATTCAGTATGTGTTTACTATAGATGCAATTTTTGCAAGAAATATTTTTGGAGGTGGTTCATAGGAAGGCTGACTGTATTGTGTTAAATACTTCTTAAGTCTAGGGGATGTAGAGTAAAAAAAAAAAAAAAGAAAGTGGGAGAGATACAGAGAAATCTTCATGGGCTGATTTCTTCAGAAATCAACAGAAATTGCTTGATGAAATATTTAGTTGAAAATTTTCAACTTTACTTTGAAAACTAAGCTGGTAAAGGAGGCCATAGGGTAAGATTTGTATTTTGGAAAATAATTCTAACAGCAACTTGGGAGACTAGATTGGATGAAGGAACTACATTGACAGCAGGAAAACATAATACTAAATAACTGTGACTTCAGTAAGTTAATTTTGGTTCATATCAAATTAAATTTCAGATCATTTTTTCTAAAAATTTGGCACCATCAAGGAAATAACAAAATCAAATGGGAGATATGATAAATTATGGTATAATGGTGTATTAAGAATTGTAATTCAAAAATAAATAAATAAAATAATTAATTAAAAAATCAAATAGTATGTAATTTATTGTTGGTCTTAAGCAGCTTTAACAGCACCTTAGAACTTGTTAGAAATATAAACTTGGGGGCCCACCTCAGACTTAGAAACTCCAGCTGTGGGGTCCTGATGTCCCATTTTTGCATTGTCAAAAGCCTTCCAGATGACTCTGATGTACATTAAATAAACCTTCCTCTATTTCATTATGATATATCAATATTCTATGAGTATTAGCTGCCATTTGTAGTTTCACTGATTTATTTCTAATTTATTATTTTTCAGCCACGTAATGGAAGAAGGTCAGCAAGTTTTGTTTAAAATGGTATGTATTTTTGAAAAAAATAATAGATAAGTAAATAAATAAAAATGAAATGTTGGTATATGTTTCACAGTTCAACCTAATTTGAAAATTTCTGTTGGTTTCAAACATTGACAAATTAAGCTATATTCAATATATTTCTATTATTTGATTGTATGCATACACTAATATTTTATATAAGTGCTACACCTATAGAGGCAATGAGGGTTTTATATGATAGAAAATACCAGTATTTTAGGTCCAGATTTGCTTTGCCCATCATATTCTTCAGACAGAACCACAATGGTAATCATCATGATTGGTTTTGGAGACATCAGCCTCGGCATATTTTATTGTGAAAGTAGTATCATGCAGAGAGGGCATTCTTACTGTGGTAGTCAGCATCCATCATGATGGACCAGGATTTACAGACTGAATTTATTTCCGTCCTCCAGATAACTTACATTCAAAGAATCTTTATAAAAGCTTATGATGTAATGGTTTCTAGGGAATAAAGAAAATGTAGAAAGACATGAGAACATAATTTCTACTTTGGTACTTTCATAGTTCCTATCTCAGTATGGAGCACACAGTAGAAACTCAGTAGCTAGTAGCTGGTGGGATTAACCAATATTTATTAAACATATAAGGACAGTGGCTGGTGACTAGCCCCATAAATTTAAAAAATATGCTAATCCTAATATCTGTGTGGGGGATGTACTGGGGATTAAACTCAGGGGCATGCAACTACTGAGCTATATGCCCAGCCTGTTTGTTTTTTGTTTTATTTTTCATTTTTTTTTTAAGACAGGGTCTCACTAAGTTGTGTAGGTTGGCTTAGAATTTGTAATCCTCCTGCCTCAGCCTCTGTGTCACTAGGATGATAGGCATGTGCCAGCATACCTGGCCATAACATTTTATTAGACTATAAATTTTGAAATCAAACTGAAATACAGATTGATAAATTTATAGCACAGAAATATAAAATTTATGTAATAGTAAATTCAGATTCTTTCCTGAATATATTTTTTGCTAATATTTCATTTATATCAGCTTAAGTATGGTAAAGTTCTTAATATTTTCTTCAAAGAAACAAAACTAAAACACATCATTTCTATCTAAAGAATACATTGACACCAAAATCACACAATACCTAGGGGGGAAAATACTGTATATTAGATCTCAGGAGATTTTTTCAAAGCCCTATTTAGTGAAAATTTCAAGACCTAGAGTAAGCAAGGAAAAATTAATACACTAAGGATTTAATTCATTAAGACAAGAAAGAATAGTAAAATGAGTCTCAGGAAAACAGAAGGAAGAAATAACAGAAGAAATTAAAAGGTGGCAAAGTAGAAAAATTGATAGGCATAGCAAAAATCTGATTCTTCAAAGGAAAAAAAAAAAGCCTATTTAACCTAACCTAATCTAGAAAGGGGCAAAACAAATATCTCCTTCAGAGAAATACTAACTGATAATAGTAAAAAATATACAAACTGAAGAACAGCTGGGAAATATCTCAGATACCATGTTATTACACTATGACAATATAATTATAGAAATTTATATGAACATTTTATATATATAATTTATATGCTCATTTACACTTGAATCTAATTTAGTTTTTCTTTTTCTTTTTTTCACAGATGCCCACTAATTTTTCACAGAAACAATGCTATGGGATAAAAAATGTACTGACATCATTTTGCTTTCTTCTCAAAAGCAGTCCTTCCTAAGTTAACTCTGTTGAAAATTCCTGTATTGTAAACATTCTCAGTAAAAGTTGTAATTGTAAATGTTTGATTTGTTGAAAATAAAGCATATTAAAGTGTTTTTTTCTTAGTGTTATAGTGATAAATAGTTACAATAAAGTTGTAAATTGGTGATGTTCTTTGGATGCTTGCAGCCTTTGATGTACTGGCACACATGCTTTTTTGATATTTTATTAAAGTCACATATAAGGAGTTGAATAAGCTATTTTAACTCATCACATTTGGACTTTTTCAGTAACAAAATCACCAAGTGTTATAAACACCAGAATGCCCAATAGCTTAATATCTTAGAATGTGAATACCAACTGAAACTATGCTAGTTGAGGGATTTGGCCATGACTCATACAGTGACTTAATAAGTAAGTTCTGATTTAAATAGTATAAAACAGATTTCTGATTGCTACAAATACATCAAGGGACTCTGTCTGCCAACTCAGAACATTCAGTTTATCCTAAAATAATTTTTTTTTATCCTTCAATATCTGAAAGGCAACCAGTCTTGTCTGTTACCAGGAAAAACAACAACAACAACAACAACAACAATCTTACTAGTAGAGGATCATGAGCATACATGGAATCAGTGTTTAGTGGACACAAAATTAACCCCAGGTGAAGACTGAGTTTACTACACCCCTCCATTCTGCCTCGTTTTTTTTCCTTCTGACCCCTCTTGGATTCCCACCTTCACCAAGGATGTTGTTGCTATTTAGAGAGGGGTGGCTATTTGAATGGGTCCATATATTCTTTAAGAGCCAAGTATCTTACAAGCCTTTGTCTGATGTTGACCAAAGATTGTAACTTAAATTGTACCTTTCACTAAAATGTTCCTGAGTTTCACTTTTTGTCAACTTGATAAAAGGTCATAAGAAAAGAAGCAGTAGACAGCAAAAATTGCATTATTCTTTTAAAACAAACTGCCTTGACAGGATGGGGTCCTGGGAGCATGCAGGTTTAAAGCCACAAATTCATGGGACAGCATGGACTAACTAGTTCTGTGCACTGTGAATCAATTAGTCTGGATTTTTTATTGGTAAAATAAGGAAAGGTAGTTGAATATTAAGCGGCAGTTTCCAGGGTTTCTCAAAAATCCAGAAAAAATGTTTGCTATATATATTCAAGTTTCCTGGGATAAGGAAGGAAGAGGAAAAATAACAAGACCCAGTTGCAAAACTTATGATACGTTTTTCAAGTATTTGAATTTAATAAATTAATGTCTCATACATAAACACAACAAAATTTATGGGTCAGCTTTTGGTCAAAATACCAGACAAGAACTACCTAAGGAGGAAAGATTTATTTTGGCTCACAGTTTCAGAAGATTCAGGTCATGGTTCACTGGTTCCAAGGCAGAAACATGGTGGAAGAGCATGGCAGAGGAAAGCTGTTCAATTTATGGCAACCAGGAAGAAGAGTGAGCCTGACAAGAAGGGACCAGGAACAGATAGAGTCCCCAAGGCCATCTCCAGTGACTGACTTCTTTCTACCCACTTCCTGCCACCCCCCAACATTGCCTGACACATGAGCTTCTGAGTGTGTGTGTGGGAGGGGGCGGATGGTCATTCTGGATCTAAACTGGAACATACCAGCTACTAGGAGATCAGGATTCATGGGTATTACAAATGAAGCAATCCAGGCACTACAGTTGAAGCACTCCAATGCTGAACCCAAGTTTAAAACTATGATCAAAAACATTTTTGTCTTGTTATCAAATTTTTCTTGAGCATATTTCTGGGACCATGTGCATAAACATGGGAATGACCACCAAGTGTTTCCCCCAAGTTCCTAGCAGCTCCAGGTAAATACCCTTTCCTTAATGTCACCAACAAGGAACCCAACTATCTGGATTTCCTACCTAAAAGTGTCTGTCTCCTAAAGTAGTGGGTTTTGTTTAAGGCAGTGAGTTTTTAAGATGGGTTCGGGCAGCTTGTCGCCCCATTTGAGTATTAGATGAAAGTTTTGTTTATTAATTTCAGAAAATAAAATGTACATGTAGATTAAAGTTCTGTGTACAAGAGGGATCTAGAGGTTCGACATTGCTTGAAATTCATCCAGATACAGGTTATGGTCTCCAGATTAAGAACCCCTGTGAAAGATTCTTCACCTCAAGAATTTGTTGTTTCTCTTTGAAGAGAGGACTCAGGAGTTGAAAGGTACCAGAGAGACTGGAAAACAATGGTTGATTTGGCGATGGTGGGGGTGAAGGGAAGGGTGGGAGGAACACAGCATCAGCACCACACAGCAAACAGGCACTGCTTGAGGGAGATGCTCCAGGACCTACTGCATCAGCACCCAAAGCTGCCGGCTAGATTGGGCTTCTGGGTTGCCTGGCAACGGAGTCACCTGCGCACCAGGGGAACAAGTCCTGTTCTCTTGCCCCTTGCCGGCGGGCGTTAGAAACCGCCGAGCCTGCAGGGGCCTTCTTCCAGCCTGGAGGAGGCTTGACGTCTCCATCCTCACCTGTGACAGGTCGACGCCAGCACCTGAGGGGCAGAGCAGAGTACCATGCAGGTGAGAGGCGCAGCCGACTGCGGGGCACTGGAGCAGCCTGCGGAGATCCCTAGATGGGCCGAAGGAAGGGCGGCTCCTAGGGTTGGGTTCTAACCTTGTTCTTGTTAAGTGCTCAATTTTGCCTGCGTCTCTGTCTAGTTTTGAGAGAAATCCGAACTAGCCCCAGGAAAACTCCAGTTTTTCAACATTCAGGACTTCTGTTGTTTAGAGTTGATGAGTGTTGTCGTTCGCACCTGAGTCCTGGAAATCCTACAGCCACACAATTTCCCATTTAGAGAGTAGCTCGGGACATGGTGGTGCATGCCAGTAATCCCAGCAACTTGGGAGGCTGAGGTAGGAGGATGGGAAATTGGAGGCCAGTCTCAGCAACTTAGGGAGGCACCATCTCAAAATCAAAAGGCTGGGGATGTGGCTCACACAGAAAAGTGGAGACTCTTAATAGTCAAACATATCCTAAAGATTTCACTATTCCAGAAGTTTCCTGCCTACCTGATCATCAAAAATCTGTTAGACTTCCATTTATTCCTTAGAAGACTCCTCCTTTGTTAAAACTTCTTTATTTACCAGGAGCCTGTGATTGCTTGCCTGCATGCCTGCCTTCCTTCCTTCCTTCCTTCCTCCCTTCCTTCTTTCTTTTATTAGCAAAATAAAATTCTCACTTTCCAATTTCTAGAAACAGCTTTTCCCACCTGCTCCCTGAAATTAAAACTATTGGGATTTTGGTATTTGTATATATTATACAAAATATTAGGATATTTTGAACATAAATTACATAAAAGTTTTAATGGATAGTCTTTTCATGTTAATAATGAATTCCTCGCAAGTACATTTTATACAGTGTGCAAAAAAAATTATGGATTTGTCCTGATTTGCATCTGCTTTTTAGGAATTTAGCTGCAATGTAATTGAGAATAAAGTTGACAGCACATTAACTTTGCTTTCTTTATTTAATTCACTGATTTATTCAAAGGCCAGTTATAGAGCATTTATGTTTTCAATATGGACCTGTTGTAAAAAAGCTTACTATGAGGGAATAAGAGAGATAACTGGCATGATAAAATGCCATTATAGTTTGAGGAAATAGATTGTGCTCCCTATTTCTGTTAGATAAATTTTCATCCGTGGTATATTCAAATACACTCTACTGTCACGTATATCTAAAAATAACAAAAATATGTCATCAATAATTTCTAAATGGGATCAGCAGACTATAGGACATTGACTGTTACATTAAGTCCTACTGCAACTAACTCCATTTGTTAAAGGATCCTCTAAAAGCATCAAAGGGAATCCCCTAAAAGCATCAAAGAGGTGGCATGACAGTAAGAAATGATGACATAAAAAATCAAAGGGAAAGTGTGGAAACTCGTAGACTTTTAGAGTTTATAGGAGACCAAAATAAGCTACTCTAAAATGTGACACAAGAGACTAGACTATACCAAATGCAACCAAACAATTAAAAAATTATCTTTAAAAATCTTTTAGACAGTTGATTGTAATCAAGATATCAGACTGAGCCAGGGTCTCATTCGAAGGCACAACAGGGGAAAAATTTACTTCCAAGTTCACTTACAAGATAGTAGGTAGAATTTAGCTCTTTGAGGCTGCTTGGCTGAACACTCTACTTCCTAACTTATTCTTGGCCATGTTTTCTCGCTACATGATTCTCTCCCTAGGACACCTCACAATGTGGCAGCTTGCTTCATCCAATCCAGCTAGTAAGTCACTGTGCCTCTCTGGCTTAAAGATTTCTTTGATTATTTGGAGAAACAGCAGACACAGGAAAAGCTCTGAAAACAGAGAAGTTATCCTTTTGTAGGGAAGTTTACATTCACAAAGGAAGTCTCCATATGGAAAGATATTTGTTCCAGGAAGAGAGGAATGATTCTGTATCACCACAGGGGAATCTCATCAGTGAAGAGGGTACCAACTTGGATCTGCATGGTAGACTCTACCTTTGTTTATCATGCTTTTTGTGGTCACCTTCCCATAACTTGCCTTATTCCTTTGTTTCAGCTGAAGAAGTTACATGTGCCACCTCATTTTCCCTTATATGTACCATGTGTGCGTGAAGTATACATGTTAACTAACTTCTGTTTGCTTTTCTCTTGTTAATTTGGTCTTTTATTACAGGAGTCTGTCCCGTTTAAGAACTGAGAGTATGGAGAGAATTTTTTTTCCTGCCCTACAAGCTCCCTACTGTTACCCTGAAGGCATTAACAGTTTGTATTATGGTCATAGGTATAATCACAGGGTGAGGAGTAGCCAAAGAGTATGGGTCACCAAAGGATGGAACTAATAGCAGGGTAAACTAGAACTCATGCCTAGGGGAATTCAGGGAAGGTTGTCTTGATGCTCAGTGGACAAGGATATAACTTGTCCTCAAGAAGTTTTGGCCCAAGA